TTTTTATATTTCCGTAAAATTAAATAGTATTCCCAGAAAATTTCAATAGTTTTTTTTTATTTTTATTATCGTTTATACCCCTTTTTATAATATAATTAATTCCAAACCACCACATATATGGATTTTAAATAGTCTAAGATACGAAGTAAAGTTCGTCCATCTGCTTAAGGGATGAGTTATTCTCTATTAAATAAAATATATTTATAAATATACCGCAAAAGGTTTGCTTAACCCTTAGATCCCGAAGTGGGGTTACTTGGTTACCCCACTTGTAAAGTTCCTTATAAAAACGATAATCGGAGCTTTAGGCATTGCCACGTTCATCTATGCGTCAAACGATATTTAAGGTTATTTCTATATTTTATGTGATTTGATAGTTCTTATGAAATAATATTAACAAAAAGGTAAATGGGATCCTGTAGTTACCCCTCTTCGGGATTTATGTACTATAAATATTTTACGCCTAATTTTCCTTTTTTGCAGACCATTTGCTAAAATGAGTAAATCTAATAATAGAAAGGCATTGTCGGAAACAGAATTTCAACGTGCTGCTGAATGATTTGGAGATTTGTCAGATTCTGATCATGAAATTGAATACGAAATCGATGAAGATTTTTTGCATAAAATCGACTCTGAATCGGAAGATGATTTAGAAATTCATTCTGAAGAGGAATCTGATTTAGACCCGAGTACAGACACAGATGTAATCGACGAACCTAACGAAAGCACAGAATATGTTGCGAAGTCCGGCATGAAATGGAGTAACAAACCTTAGCCGAGTACAAGGCGTCTACAACGGAATATAGTAAGTGATCGCCCTGAAATTACGACTTATAGTCAGGCAGCTGATTAATTTATAGAAATTTTTAGATTATTTATCACCCGAAATCAAAGATATTATATGTTCATATACAAATCAAGAAGCCGAAAATTATTTTGACTCTTGGAATCAAAAGCATCCAATTCGTCCAAAAAATGGAAGTTATTAGATCACGTCGAGTTAGATTGTTTGTGGAGATTTTGATCAAGGCCGGTGCTACGAGATGTAAACGGGAATTTATAAAAGAAATGTGGACTACTGATTCTAGTATAAGACGGTCATTTTTTTCCAGCTGCAATGTCGCGTGATAGATTTCAAGAAATTTCTGTTTTCTTGCGTTTTGATGACAAACTTACTAGGATCGAGAGAAAAAATGTGAACACTGGTAAACTTGCTGGAGCAGCAAGAGAACAGAATCAAGGGCATAAGAGATTGTGGCATTGAAATAGCTGCTCCATCTCACCATGAAGCAGTAACACTTTAACACGTTCAGCACCAAGCCCGTATGCAAAAATTTTACGAATTTTCGAAAAATCTTTTTTTTGCTTATTTTTGTGACCTTATATTTATATAAGGAATTTTCCATAAAGAATGCTCATTTATTTGTCAAAATAATGTTTGTTTTATTATAATATAGTTCTATTCAATGATAACTCATATAAGATACATCTGAGCCCCAACCCAAATATACCAAGAAATCCTTGTAGGCCATCACATAGTATTTGCCATATAAAATGTATTAAACGGTGCGCATAAAAGGTACACAGCACCTAAAACCAAATAGTGTTTGTGTATCTTTTTCGATACACAATGTCTAAGACAATGTGTATCTAAAATGATACACACGGCGCCGAACGTGTTAAAGACCATATATTTTCTTAAAGTAAACGACAACCTATAAAGTATCCCCTAGGTGCATCGACTATGCCCAAAATTTAATCAGCTCACAGCATTATCGAATAAAATTTACAATTTGGTTTTTTATCCGTTTGTGAGTTATTTTCAAAATCTCGAATACGGTTCATTTTAGGGATATCATGTATAGAATAATTACAGAGAATGACATCACAAGCAACTTTTATCATGATTCCTATACTTTCTTTATTTGTATACAGAAAGGAGAGCCAAAACAGCATTGACAGTATTTTTTTTCGACAAACATTTTATTTACTAAAAAATACCTTTCATCCAGTAAGCAGATAGGCGAAGGTCGACTTTACTTCGTATCATGTACTAAAACATGTTTTATACATTTGAATATTGTTAAGCTATCAGTTGAATAAAAACTAAAATACTTCAGCTGTCATCTGATTAATTTTACTACGGAAAACTCTTAAAATAACAATTTTATTACGGGTCACTATTTCTCAGTAGGGGTGGGCGAAATAACCGCTTAATCGGTTAGTAATCGATTAATTGAAAATAATCGATTAATTGATATTATAAAACGATAGTTTGATTACCTTATTAATATGTAACTGAAATATATTTACTAATATTCGATAAATTAATAAAAGCAAAAATATATTAAAAATCAGTTCATCTAATAATCGATAATCCGATTATTCGGAAATAATTAATTTAACCAAAATAACCGATTAATGGAAAATAATCGATTTCTCGATTAAACGAAAATAATGAATTAATCGACTTGTTAGTCAGTGAATTAGAAGCCCGGCGCCGCTGCTGCTGACGGTACCTCAGCGCGCTCGTACAGCATCCCAGTCAAAGAGGGAACACTTGAATTTTGATCGAACGGACGCAAGCAAGTAGGCATTTGTGCCCGTTAACATGCTTTATTTTGTCCTTTAATTGATCAGATTTTAAATATTGTTTAGTTTTTCGATATATTTAATAAAACATTATAAAACCATGGCTCTACAGGGCGTTATAGTATACTTCGTTTAACTTCTAATAGGATAAACGATTAATCGAAAAGAATCGAATGATCGAATCATTTATTTTCAATTAATCGCATATAATCGACTATTTTAAATAATCGATTATTTTGATAATCGCCCAGCCCTATTCCTCAGTATACAATTTGTGAAATTATAAAACATCTAATTTAGCAGTAGAGCTGTGGCAAACCGTATGTATTCGTTACTCAGTAACGGGTAGTCGGTCAGATACGAAATACGAATTCGTTACTGCATTTTAAATTTCGTTACTTCGTTACTCGAATCCGCATCGTCGCATATCGCACAAACATACCGGTTTGATGTGCAAGATACGAAATGCGAGTGTGAGTCTGATGCGAATCGAGCTATCGATGACTATTAAGTCGCACACCGACTGGGACTTATTTTGGTTTTATAGAATAGTATAATAGTTGTTTTTCTGTTAGCGTGTTGCAAGAATATAATATGTTTTTGTTTATTTAAGTTATGATTTTATGGAGTATTATTATTGTTTCTACTAGTGTGTTAGAAAAATATATATGTTTCTGTCTGACGATATTTTATTTTGCAAAACTTTACGTCATTGCTCATGCTCAGTGAACTATACGACTTTGTTACTAATTACAAATTCGCTACGTATTTAATTAACCAACGATTCGATATCTAATCTCATCCGCACCCCTTGTTAGACAGTACCAACCTAACAACCGAACCAATGCGTACGTACGATAGTACGATTAGTTAGACACCAATTCCGCATCCGCATTAGACGTGTGCGAGGCCCATGCGCCGCATGTTCTGTAGATTCGCATCACAGTAACGAAAGTAACGAGTAACGAATATTTTTATACGGGTAGTCAGATCTGAAGTAACGAATAGATACGGGTATTGGTTTTCTCGTTACTTTTACAGCTCTATTTAGCAGTAACTAATACACTCTAAATTTCGTTGTAATTCTTCCAAGAATGTTATTTCATCAAATATCCAATCCATTATTTGCAAGGTTGCCAATGCGATGACATCGATGCAGTCCTAGAGAATAACGAATTGGAAAGCAAAGAAAAATGATAATTTGAGAATAAAAATTGAAACTTTTTCTAAACTACAACCTAAGAGTAATAATAATTATCTTTAAAAAAAAAAAGAACTAAGAAATTTGAAAAATCATATGAGACGCTTAATAAAAAAATAAGGTAGGTTTTCGTTGATCATTCCGATTTCAATTTTTAATGAACCGAAACTGGAATAAAGTGACTATTTCTTCAATATTTTTACAAATAAAAATATCCCATCGTAGAGCGGAATGGAATTTTCAAAAATCGCAATGTTTTATCGGTGCTTCACAAATCTATCGTCGACAAGTTTTTCTTCTTGTTTCCACTGACACGTACCATTTTATCCAACAGTTCCAAATCGACGAATACTTTTAATAGAACAAAAATGCTTTCCTGGGAAAAATTATTGCCGGTATTGAGTGGCAAACACAAATTATACGTTTTATTGAAAATTTTGTGGGTTCCACTTTTCTGTTAACCAAATTATTAAGCCAAAATTACTTATTAATCGGGCATTTAGTTGGCACTAACAATTATTGTTTATTTTTGAAATGTTAGTAGTTTCAAAAATGCCTACTAAAACCGAAAATACTTTTTTAAATAAAATCTAATTTCTCACTTAACATTACTTATTAAATTAATTATTGTTGCCTCATGCAATTCTTATTTGTAAATAGACAGTTTTAAGAGGGAAAGGACCTATTATCCCATATACCTTTAGTGTTATGAAAACGTATTTATTAATCTCAAAAAGTAAATACAGTCAAAAATTACATGATACACTTACCATACGAAGACCTATATTAAGGAGCTAAATTGAAAAATAAATAGTAATCACAGCCAATCGCGGTTTCTTGAAATATAACGCCCGTCACTTCACTCTCTTACTTTATAATGCCAGTTAAAAACACAAATATAAATAGTCAAAATAATTACGGCACTAAAATGTTTTTTAAAAAATACACACACCGAATGGAATCTGTTTCCATAGAACGTGTGTATTTTTTATAATGCGCGAACTGTAATGAAAGCAGACATATTAGATATTAAATGAAAATTTAAAAAACAACCGTTTCATCCTGTCATTTCCTTTTTTCACAGACAGCAAAGAAGAAAAACAGTCTCCTGCCAAGTACAGTAGGTGGCCGTTAAAATTTCTTCTGCTATCAATTGCAGCCTGAAAAAATAAAAGAACCATTAGCAATAGTTGATGTAATAACTTACGTTTTGGTTTAGGAGGAATCAGTTTTATAGCTCCGGGTCGTTCGGGTATGTCCACTTTGTCGATTTTAATTTTCTTTTCTGGAGGTAGGACCGGTTCCTTGATGTCCTTCGAAGGTGACGCCCTCTTCAACGACATAGGAGGCGGTAATGGCGCAGGTGGAGCGACCTTCTTCACCGGTCTGGACGGTGCTGGTTTTGCTTCTTCTTCCAATCCCGTCGATCTCATCCGCGAATTGAAAATTTTTACAGTTTTAGGTCTTTCCTCGCGGTCCTTTCTAATTCCTACAGAGAACTTCTTTTTTGATTCTAAAGTGTCTTTATTTTCTATTGTTTCGGAAGAAGATTTTTTAGGAATTCTGCCGAATTTTTCGAGCGGTTTAAAGTCAGAGGAACTTCTCTCTTTGTCTGGTTTATCTTTATCTTTCTTTTCGCTAGATTCTTTTTTGTCTTTACTAGAACTTGAACTGCTTTTTGTACTTCCATTACTTCTCTGTTTATCTCTTTCCTTATCTTTATCCTTATCTTTGTCCCTACTTTTGTCTCTATCTTTTCTATCTTTTTCTCTATCCTTTCTATCTTTACTCGATGAACTGCTACTTTTGCTTCTGCTAGACGAACTACTACTCTTTGACGAACTACGTCTATCTTTATCGCGGTGTCTATCTTTATCTTTGCTCCTCTCTTTATCTCGACTGCTACTTTTCGAGCTTGAGCTTCTGGAACTAGACTTTTTATCTTCTTCTTTGGACTTTGTTTTTTCAGAAGGATCATCTTTTATGTTAGATTCTATTTTGTCATTGGCTTCTTTAGCGTCCTTTTTATAAAACGAAGCAGTGCTTATAGGTTCTATATTATCGTCTTCAGCTTCTAAACTGTCTTTTTCAAATTTTAAATCATCAGATTTTACTAAATCGGCTTTATCATTGTTAGATTGTTGCGCAGCCAAACTTGAACCTTTTACGATTGTGAGCCATTGTTTGACTAATTGAGTCGATAACTCGGCAACATCTGAAAGTAAAACATTAATGACATTTCCATTATATCGGTATTCAAATGTTAACTCAAAATATGTAAAACTATGTGAACTAAAAACATTCATAAACTAAGAATACCTTAAAAATAAATAAGGAAATTAAAATGATTCTGATTTTACAACCTTAAAACTTTTACAGTTAAATTAAAGGTCTAGCAAAACAGCAGTTTTCTGACAAAGAATTAGAAATTAATAATAACAAAGTTGTTTCTAGAGTGGGGCTGATAAAACAGGAAGCGAATCTAAATTCCAAATTCAAATAATTTTAGTAAATAGTAAAATTACAACATCGGAAAATACTTAATATAATGACTAGAAGTTAAATAACACAGTTACCGAACCTTATTTATTAAACACCAATTCTTTTAATTTAAAGTATTCTTTTAAAAATGTTGAATTATATTATTATGCAATCATTATCGCATGCGTAAATCAAACGGAGTTTAATTACCTTCCAAATCATCTCTTCGTGATAAACTCTTGATTAATTTTGGTAAAATATTTAATTTCAAACGTTCTACATCTACGGGGGTTATAAGTAATAATCCTAAAATCTCCCTAACTAAATGCCAATTGGCTATTTGAACAGCATCTTGTAACCAGGTTTGTATGAGGGTCCATCCACCCTCGGCCATGAACATATCGACTAATTCTGTGTTGGTGTTCTTCAAAATTAATACATATACGCATTTGCTGACCAATTTTTTAGAAAATTTAGTCATTAAACTGAAAGTAAAACGTTTTATATTTAATAAAGCTGTATTTATTATTATCCGAAATACTTACTTGACTAATCTAGGGACCTCGTCTCTGGAAAGGATGCCTCCTTCGGGGGTTAAAAGTACCGAGAGACACTTTAACAATTGCAAAGGATCTATGCGAGGCTGTAAAAAAAAACAAAATTGTAATGTCTATCATTTATATAAAGTGCTGTTTCATAAAGTTGGAATAAAACGTCGTACAACATTCAACTCTGCTTTTTTAAAAACTTAAAACAATTCATATTAAAGTTAGCTAGGTACTGCATTAGTTATCAGACAAATTCAGTATTTTTTTAAATGCCAGTTTGACAGAAATCTAATGTTAGTAGTAGCAGAAGCGATTGCCCTCCTACGAAGTTTTTTAAAATCGTTATAATAAAAAAAAACCCATATGGATCCAACTTTATGGAACAGTGCATAAAATAATAAGTTTTACAAAAATATATGCGAACATATAATTAAAATCTTTGCTTGGCTTGCTTGGTTATTATAAACGCAATGAAAATTGATAAATCAATTTTGTATTTATTCATAAACTTTTTTTTACTAAACCTAAGCTCGATAAAATTGCTAACTTGAATCATTGATTCGTAATTTACTTTTAAACTTCGATAAACAGTATTGGCTAACGAACGCTTTCCAATGCAGTTTGCACAAGTGGATGTGCAGAGTTAGCATTAACGTGAGCAGGAAACGAATTATATCAACGTTTCCAGCTTATACGGGTCGTTCAACGTTACAACGCGGTTGGAACGTATAAACTGGCAGCTAATATTATTCGTTTCCTTCTTGCCCTAATGCTAAGTTACTGAGTTATTTTCAAGTAAATGAATACTTCAAATTCCTTCTTGTTTTATTTCTTTATTTTATTATATTGAATTATAACATTATTTTATTTTTGTTGAGTAAGTTACTAAGATTTTTTTCTTAAATTGATACTCTTTTTGACATTTTTTAAGTCCGATATCACACATTTAAATAAAATATCTATTTTCGAGCTTATAATTTGGCGCAGTCAGTAGGATACAAATATATGGTCAAAATCATTACAGCTCCTACCATTATCCTTTATTTTATGCCACGTAATGCGCCTGGAGAATTAAATTTCGGCGGTATTCGCGATTCAAATTAATTTTCGCGTACCTGTCATTTGTCACTTATAAGTAGGATGTTTTTTTATTTACGTGTTTGTTTTGGGCGGATTTTGTATTTGTGATTTTTTTAATTGTTTTTAGATAATATTCTCATTGTAATAGTGTTTTTGAGTTTCATTTAGTGTTAATTTAAGTTTAGTTCTCGTGCTTTCGTCATAAATATAATATGTATCATGTGTATGACTTAATTTGTTGGAAATATTCACCTATTGGTTGCTACAAGAACATCTAGAAATATGTATTTACTTAACCCAGTACATGTTTTATTATGTGGTTTAAAGGACGTTTCAGGTACCAAACGTTTATTATTGATGAATTTATTTAAAAATCTTACTATCCTTATTCTTATATTATGAAGGGAATTATGTAGTATTGTATACATGTAAATGATAATAAAACCATCACAAATCAGATTACAGTTTGATTCTAAACAAAGTTTTGCAAAATTTCAATATTGTGAATTTGTAGATATCCATTTATCGTAAGAAAGAAAATTTTACGACTTGAACTTGGAAAATAATGAACACTTCAGTTTTGATTTTGACATTAACACCATATAGATTGCAATTTGCTGGGGACTTTTTCGCAGAATTTATTTTTAATATAAACACTATCACATACTATAAGAAATAAATTTAAAGCTAAAAAGTAAGAAAAAACTCGAATTGTAATTGATACATATTAAATTGTAAACCATGAACACGACGCCAATGTTGCCAAATGATGAACTGATTTTAAAACAAAATTAATAAATTAACTGAAATTTAAAAAAAAAATCAATATAACAAATCGGTTTTATAAAAAAAATCCTTAAATTAAGTATCGAGTATAATTACATATTACTAGACACAATTTTGATTCTTAAATAAAAGGACTTGTCCACTTCTCCTAGAGCTAAAATCCGACGACATAGCGAAATTTTGCTACTTCTGGCAACACTGAACGATATCCTACTTATGGAGACCTTCAGACCTCCAGAGGGCGTATCACTTAGTTTGAATCGTGAATAGTAGCCGAAAAGTATTCAAGATGTATGAAACGTTTCGAATATATTTAATAGGCAAAATGGTAGTAAGTTAAATAAAACCTGAAATACATGTTGTAGTTTGTACTGAATAATATAGCTACATCTTGTTTAATTTTTTTTTAGTCTTAAAAATAAACATAAAACAAGACTTCTTAAAACAATCAAACATTTAAAATATTCACACAACTTTGTCAACAGGATTTGAATCCGCTTAAACTGAAATTAAGTGTCTAATAATTTTTAAAAGTATTTTAAATATAATTATTATATCTTAGTTTATAGAAATTTACGAAAGTTGATTCTAATTTTCGACCCCTGAGCCTTTACTGTCTAATCACGTAACGTCAAAAAAATTCCAGAGGCGAGCCTAATTTAATTTAAAAGAAAATCTAATTGGAAAAAATATGTTTTCTACACCCACATGGATATTAGCTTATCTACGCACAGACTGCAAAACGAAAAAGTATGCTATTGCCATGAACTGAACGAATATATTTTATATCTATTCTATGTAGTAAGAACACTGCAAAAAAATTAAATCCACCAATCACAGTTCATATTTTGTCAAATTAATTGTCAGTAGATTTTTAGTTATTAATAATAATAATAATAATAATAATAATATAATATAATAATAATAATATAATAATAATAATAATAATAATAATAATAATACTCTCCCTAATTCACCCCCATACGAGTGAATTTTAACCCCAAAAGCTGAGCTTGTCCTGGGAAAGGGACGGCTATTATTATTATTTGCCGTGGCGCTCCGGGGCGACTTAAAGATGATTGATGGTGCCATTTGACTTACAGGTGAGGAAAACCCGGAAAACCTCACCCACCATCATATTGAACTTCAATATACATTAAAATGATTTATTTTTGTGTAGAATCGATAATAGCATTTCTATTTTTATTTACTGTAACATTTTATTAAAAATATGAAAATATGGAGTGATGTTCTTTTTTAAATGACAATTTGAATTTCAATCAGAGGCGTGTGTATTTATCATAGACATGACTAATATCTATGTCGACTACTGCCTACTTTAGAAACTATTGTCTCTATATCACACGGTGGATGGGTGAATAAAATCAGCTGTTTAAAATTTATATTGAAAACATTGACAGTCGGTGGCAATGCAAGAACGACCTTTAAAAATTATAGAGCCTGATAGACAGACGTTTAGACTGGGTAATTGGATGTAAATGAAAAAAGCTGTCGCCAACGTTTATGAAACCCATAAAGCAGTAAATATATAAAAAAAAAACAATAGTTTGAGGTTTTGAAATTCCATCACATACCAATATGATCTAGTCATTAAAGATATTTTAAACAATTCGTATAATTTATCCCGATCGATCTTACTTTGAATGTAGCTGAGATTGTTTATAAAACAATAATTACAATATTCATAGATGCGTGATAAGAATTTTTGTCGAAAAATAAAATTTATTCTACTACTCATTTATGTTTTATTCTACTACTGACCTTTTCAAGAGACATTCTAACTATAACTTCAAATATATCTCCAGCGAACACAACAATCGATTCTGATAACTTTATCTCAAGCTTGTTAAAACTCAACCTTGAAAAATTATTTTTAGATAGCCAGGTAATTTGTACGACTTGGCAACGATCATATGGAATTGGAAATGTACGTCATATCCAAAGTGGACGAAATGAACTAAATAGTGTTCAAAAATTGTTATGGGATGGTTGATAGGACATTAAAATTCTTAATGGCTAATTAAGGGATGCATTTTAACTAAACACCCGTCTTTTCAATCGTAAATATAAGAATATAAAAGAATGAAGTAGCTTTAAAAAGTAAGAAATCATGAGATTTTTATTTCAAAATATTTTACTTTAGGTTTTTTTCGTCTGGGTTTTGGCTTTATTGATTATATCCATTTTCCACAGATATAAAAAGAAATTAAAATTATTTAAAAGTTTTACATATCATACACACAGGGCCGACGAGGGGGTGCTGGCGGGACAAAGGAGGGCGGCAGCTTTAGGTGGCGACGTTTTATTTTTTTAGAAGTTCGCCACAAAAGGGAGGAGCGCTGGTTTATAGTTTTTTTTTTTTTGAAATGTGATATCGAAAGTAATTTTTATTTATAAAATTGTCCTGGAGCCTCACCTGGCTCTCGACGGCCCTATTCTCGAATGTCTATTAAAAATGTCGCATTCGTCATATTGTCTACTGCTAGTGTCTATCAAAATGTCGATCGACTGACACTATCCGTATTCTCAAATACAAATTGACATTTTTAAATCGGTGACATATTTGGCGAATGGTAACATCTGGCAACATTGGATAGAAACATATAAGTATATTACAGCACACAATTACTTGGAGGTTCTCAAAAGGTACCATTTGGGAACGCGCGCCAAGCGACCCGAGACGTCGGTCTCGTCTACCGAAATGTGCTTCATATAATTACATGTGTTCAGACGTGAAGAGACCGTTTTAGTAATACAAAATAATACTGCAAATGTATTCCAAATATATATCTTTTTCATAAATACTAAGTAATTAGAAAGTAGCAAAAATATTATTAACCTTTTTAACTAAAATTTCATAAGGGATTAAATAAAAAATTGGAAGTTCAATTTGGTAAGAGATTAAATAGAAAGAAGAAGAAGAAGAAGAAGAAGAAGAAGAAGAAGAAGAAGAAGAAGAAGAAGAAGAAGAAGAAGAAGAAGAAATATAATAAATCTCAACACTATAATAAAAGGTCTGTTGCCAATATCTATTATTTTTATCTGAAATTTGGAAAAATAGAGCTATATAAATTTTTTAATGACAGGAATTAAATCTTTTGGACAGACATTGTATCAATGTCGCGTGTGACATTTAGACATAGACATTCGAGAATAGGGCCCCTGCATACACATGAATTTCCTGACGCTAAATGACAAATACGAAACG